ACTCAACATATTTCCTTTATATATATATATATATATATATATATATATATATATATATATATATATATATATATAAGCGGGATGTGTGTGTGTGTGTGTGTGTGTGTGTGTAATGAATGCATGGCCGCAATTTTCGACGGATTTGCACCAAAATTTACATGCACATGCTCCAAGTTAGTGGGAAGGCCAAGACCTACTTTGCATTTCCCAACTCCCATCGATAGTGGAAATTTTTTCATGCTTCTACGGCAGTTTTCATGTAGTTTGCAGCCATTTTGTACTGGCCAGAGTGAGAGCCTATAGCTGGCTGCCACGAATAGGCAGTGAGATTCTATTTGGCCAGCGTGAGAGCCAACAGCTGACTGACACGAATGTTAACTACCATGTTAGCATGCAAAAAAAATCGATAGCTGCATTCGTCACAAGTGCGAAAAATTTAAATCTGCATGGCACTTTACTCCAATTGGTTCATTCGCTTGCTTAAACTCAACATTGATTCTGATTCCGCAGAACTGGGTTGGGTGTGAAAGAGTATTTGTTGTTAACATTCTTTTTTCATTCGGTTTTTCCAGTTACGAGTCCTTTTTTAAAGCTGATCGTTTTTTGTTCATTTTGTTTAGTTCTTTTTTCGTAACAGATTTAATGTTTAGTATAGAGCTTAGAAAAAAATTCGCAGTGTGAGATAGGCAAGAAGTAAAGCATGTAGCAACATCAGCACGGAAAAGGGAACTCCTTTAAAGGCAAGGAAGGGCAAAGATAGTGATAGGCTGTATGAGTCGTACGATTTTTTTGAATCAAGCACGGGCAACGCCGGGCCATGCTGCTAGTATATATATATATATATATATATATATATATATATATATATATATATATATATATATATATATATATCACCTTTGCGGAACAGAAAACACAGATAGATAATGTGAAGCATAGTGGCGCTGGATTATTAAGTTAAAAATGATTTTCTTTTTTTTTTTTTGCAAAAAGTGATATTTGTTATCACAGAAAGTCCAAAACTTCAAAGTATGGACTTAGTAATTAGTGTTGCTGGCTTTGGTTCGAATAATTGCCTCAATTTTATGCGGCCATTGAATGGTACAAGGTCCAGATAGCATTTCATGTTATATGTTCTTTTGAGCACCTCAATCTTTTGACCCGATGTTGTTTAGTTAACTGTGTGTTCTATACGTCCGTTACTGTTCTTTTCTTTCGTAATACCCTGCCGACTGTATCAACAGAAAAGCGATTACGCTACCCAGCGACACCAGTGAAAAAAAAGTTACTACTAGAGTTTAACGCTATCGCAACAATAATGCGTTTTTCTGGTCGCTTGACGATTGCAGATGCATGAAACTCAAATATCAGTTTGGATATATATATATATATATATATATATATATATATATATATATATATATATATATATATATATGTATATATAGGTGGAGTAATGGATAGCGGTTTGGATTGAGGAATCGCAGAGCCGAGTACAATTCCAATCGAATCCATTACATTCACTTATGTGCTAATAGCCTTGGGAAAGGTATGAATCCTCTTCCTCTCCCTCCAGCTATGGGTAAAATAGCAGGACAGACTGGGTTCTATAGCATTGGATGGCAACTGATCTAGGAGAAGGACAACTCTGAATTCAAAACCTGCGGAGGGTCGTTTGGGAACCTTGTGGCATTCGGTGCACCAGGTCTCTGTATTCATCCCTTCAAAAAGTTTGGATGGTCCTGTACGAAGCCTTCATCACTATAATCAAATCTCATGTGCCGGTGTCGGGCTGTCGGTTTCCTGGAAACTGATCTGCTTGACCCTCATACGTCGAATCTCGACGGGAGAGTCGGCTATTACGAATGGATTTTTCATTTATTTATCCGAGGTATTTTAATTTATTACTTAAACGTTATTTCTAATGGATAGCCATATCTGTGTAGATGCTCTGTTTTTATTTATTTATCTATTTATTAAACTGTTTTTTTTTTTTTATTATTTCAGGCCGGTAGATATAAGATACGCAGATGACACAGTGTTGATAGCAGACACGGAAAGGAAACTACAAAAGCTCCTACAGATGGTAGCGAATGAAAGCAAAAAGAAAGGAATAAACATCAATACAAGAAGACAGAATGCATGGACATCACCAAAAGGTTGAGCCCAAAATGCAAATGACAAGTAGGGGACACTAAAATTAAGCAGGTACAGAAATTTAAATATCTGGGATGTGTTCTAACAGAGGACGAAAAGTGTGGCACTAAGATCCGAAGACGCTTTGGGATGTCCAAAGATATAGATTGCAAAAGCTAAGCAGAGTATTAAGTTACGTGAAAATTTCGTTAGAAACAAAGAAAATAAGTACGTGATATAAGCCCTCGTGCATAGCAGCGAATGTGGGACAATCTCGTCAATGATGAAGACGAGACTTGAAGTAAGAGAAATGTGATTCTACAGAAAGATGCTGAGGATAGTATGGGCAGAACCTGAGCAACGACGAGGTTTTGGAGAGAAAGAAAACAAAAAGGGTACTTATACTTAACACCAGGAAGTGACAGCTGGGGCACTTAATGAGCAAGGAAGACTTGGAAAACCTTGATACACACGGGACAGATTGATTCTAAGAGGGACAAAGGAAAGTAGCGTGTAATATACTTGATGTGCATGAGCAAATGGATGGCAGAACAGGGTTTATGAGAAATAACAAAAAGATATAAAATATTAAGAGCTACAAGGGACAGGAAGATGTGGGGGGCATGATCGCCTACATCCTGAAGGGACACGATATATAAAAGAAAAATGATAGGAATAAATAAATATGCTGTTTAATAAGAAAAAGAAACAGTGCATCTATTCAAATATGGGTATCATCCATAAAAAATATCGTTTAAGCAACAAATTATATATATATATATATATATATATATATATATATATATATATATATATTATAAATATATATATATATATTTAAAATATTTTTGTAGGTACAAATTTAATGATCGAAATAAAAGTATAAAATATAATATTACAAGACATATTAAAACAATATTAAATAATAAAAAAAAAACACAACAACAAGTGGGGGGAAGCAACCGGTTTCGCTCCCGCTCTTCAGGCTTCCACGGGAGATTCAAAATTAAAACAGAGAAATGTACAATAAGAATTTTTTTAATAATAATATTAATATTAATATTAATAATAATATTTTTACAATAATTTTTTTTTTATTTAATATTGTTTTAATATGTCTTGTAATATTAAATTTCATACTTTTATTTCGATATATATATATATATATATATGAAGTTAAGTAATGAAAATTTTGGTAATCCGTATGGATGATCCCAAGAAGGATGAAATCCAGTCAGCTCACTGTTAAATCAAAGCGATTAGTTCAAGGAAAACATAACTTTAAGGGTACATTGGTTATAATTAATTTCCCCAGGGAATTACTTTGTGAAAAAGCCAGTTTGTACCCATGGAAGTGTGGTCTGATGAGCCAGGGAAAAAGAAAATCCCTTTGGAAATAAATTATAATCAATGGACCCTTAAAGTTTTCTGTTTTCATTGAATTATATATATATATATATATATATATATATATATATATATATATAATATGAAAAAAAAATGTAAAAACATACAAAAATCATTAAATGCAATTATGTTTGTTTTTAAAATGAAGGAAATGTCGACGTCTGACGTTTCGGTTTAATAAACCTTCTTCAGGACAATATTCATTTAAATACAATTCAGTTCAATTTGACAAAGACGATGGACATAAAACAAGTCTTATCAAAACAGATAACTGAAAATTTTAAAATGATCAGCTTTCCGTTTAGCATGGTCACGTTGTCGTCACATGAGCGACGCTTTCAAAACGTATTAAACCGAAAGACGTCGACATTTCATTCATTTTAAACAACATAATTGCATTTAAGGATTTTTTTTTTGTTTTTTCCAAATTTTTTTCTTCTGTCGGATCTATATCCATTTACATTTGCTTACACACATATATATATATATATATATATATATATATATATATATATAGTACAGGTAATAGATTGGTTGGTATATAATCCAGGTGGATCCTAATAACAACAAATATTAAAACCTATCCACAAAGAGATCGATGTATTTATTATAACAGTGCATATATATTTTTACAGCAAAAACCAAAATTACCTCGATATGGGTATAGTCTATTTCAAGCTGGTCTGAATCCAGCCGTCTTTAGCTCTTTAAGTAGACTATACTCATGTTGAGGTAATTTTGGTTATCGCTGTAATAGTATAAATTATTTTTAATATATATTTAAAGATCTGAATAGCTATTATAGAAAAGGATTTCGTTGTCAAGCTTTTGAATCTTTCTATACTTCGTTTTTTGATTGGTTATTCTAGCTTTTGTAACAATGTTTCCCCCCTAGTGTAGGATCGTTAATTAATCTAAGAAACTTTTAAAAAACATTTATTTTTTATTTTCAACATCATCACTTGATAAGACACAGAGTGTGTTGAAACAAAATGGCTATTTTTAGTGATTTTATAACATACTTATGTTATAATTTTTATAAAAATAATTATATATATATATATATATATATATATATATATATATGTATTAATTCACAAGCAAATTGTTTGATAATGGTTTACGAAAACCTTAAAAATGCTCTGAAAATATTGAATGGTTTTTGTTTAACCTCAGTTTGAAACTCTGACAAAATTTGCAGTATCTCAAAAGTAAAATAATAAACAGATCATAACTTCCATTAGTTTTTCACTAAAGTTGGATGAACGAGAAATTGTTACTCAAATACGTGTGTGTGTGTGTGTGTGTGTGTGTGTGTGTGTGTGTGTGTGTGTGTGTGTGTGTGTGTTCGGTAGACCCAGATATACATCAATTAAGTATCTCCGGTCTGGCCCATTATATCTTTAATATCTCTACATCTTATTCGTGACCAGATTCAGTCCACTATCCTGTCGTGAATGCTCATGACGACTCCAGTTACTCACATTGGACGAACGTAAGACTAAATTTTCTTTCCTTTTATTTTACAGATTATTTCTTTTTTTGCGTTAAGTCTATTTGTGCTTGTCCCTTCGATTTTGTAAAACGATATGAGTTTAGGAAAATAAGCCTGTAGCTGACGTCATCGTCATTCTGTCTGCAAGGGTAAATATGAGCCAGTATTTTCATATTAATAGCCAGACAAATCCAAGTTTCCAGGACTGGGTAAGAAATCTCCATTAATATACATATATTTCTTCCGTATTTCTTTCTTTCTTCTGTAAATTTTCATTATAAAACGTATGACTTTCTTCTTTTTTTTTCTTTCCTCCGTTTTTTTATTTATTTATTTTTTTTATTTTTTTTATTTTTGTATCGGCACTCAACACCGACTTGTTGCTTTCATAGTCGTAAATTTCTTCTTCTTCCAAGATTCTTTTCATTCTCAATTCTTCATTTTATTCCTCTTTTATATTTACCATTCTTTAGCGTTGCTTGGTTTTTATCGCTTTCCAATTCTTTTTTCCCATGTCGTTGTCTTTTTCTCCGTTTTTTTTTTTTGTGCGATCTATTTATCGATATAGCTTTCATCTTTCTTTCTTTCTTTCTTTCTTTCTTTTGCTTCTTTTCCATCTTTCAGGGTAGCTTTTATCTCTCTCTCTCTCACACACACACACACAGACTCTCTCTCTCTTTCTCTCTCTCTTTCTCTCTCTCTCTCTCTCTGTATTATTTTGTCTCTTTCTTACTATTTATTTTTCGTTTCCCCTCTCTATTCTTTGCTTTCTGTCTTCAGCACTTATTTCTTAGCAATCTTCCATTCTCCTTTTGTATGAAACAACGTCTTCTCCTCGAGATATGGATTAATTAGTAAGACATATCGCTAAACAATTATTATCCAAGAACAATTCTTACAATCATATTATATTTCCTGGCTTTAAATAACCTGCAATGGGTTGGTAATCCGTAGAAAACGAATCGTTCAATTAATCAATCACTCCATTCTCTTTTTCCCTTTATTTCCATTTTTATAGCGACATTAGTAATGTATCATAGACGCAGTTAATATACTAAATATTTCCTCCAATAATTGCAGTAAAATTTAAAATTGCAATTTATTTACAATTTTCACGGATTTTTTCGTATGTAAGGCTGCTCGTAAATCATTTCTTTGTTTCTGTTCTCTCAAGAGGGATCTTTGTCGTGAACGTCTATTGGGATCCAAGCCCTCTTCTGACCTTAAGTGAAACTCATATATTCTATCTATTGATAAAGATACTTAAAAACGGTTGGTTCATTGTACGGTTCCAGTAATTATCTAACAGCCTCTGCTATATTCTATCTTTACAAGAGCCAAATCAGACAACCAATGGAGTATTACTGTCATATCTGATCTATAGCTGCCCAGTTCATACTTTCCTGTCTTGATAGAATCCAAACGCGTCTACGCGGCCCTGAGCGAGATGAATTATTTTCCACCATATAAATGCTTGTGAGGCTCCTGTTGTTCTATCGCACTTCTATGGCATGTGTTCTGACGTGTTACATTCCTTAATCTCACCACACTTTTCATTTACAACTGGGAACCGCCATGCCCCGTACACAAAGGTGAATCATCCCCAATCCCTTCGTATTTCAATAATAAGAAGTAAGTTCCATACGGACAGCTTCTTCCTAAGAACTGTTGTTTTGTGTAACAGACTCATAGAAGGATGTTTCCCCAATCAATACAATCTTGACCTCTTCAAGTCTAAGGTTAACCGTTATCTTTCTTGCACTTTATCTTTTCTGCAGTTGTCGGTTAGTTGTTTGATATGTTGTCACTTTGTGTCTCTTTTTTATATGTAAGGGTGCTTGTAAATCAATTCTTAGTTCATGTTCTCTCAAGAGGAATCTTGGCCATGAACTTTCTGTTGGGATTCAAGCTCTCTTCTGACCTCAAATGAAACTCATATATCAGATCTATTATTACTAAAAGATGCTGGGAAAATGGTTTGTTCACTGTACGGTGCCAGTAAGCATCTGAATCTCCCCGGCTATTTCTATCTTTTCAAGAGCCAGATCAGACTAAAAATGAAGTATTACCATATCTGGATTGAACTGCCTGTCCTCACTTGCCTGCTTTGATAGAATATCCTACAACTCCGTTCTCACAGACGAAACGTTGCGAGCCTGTCACTGCTCTATCTATACTTACATGGCATGAGTTCTGATGAGCTACATTCCTTAATTCCATAAACCTAACCTTTATTCAATGCCACGTGCACAAGAGTGAGTCAGCACCATTCCTTTCGTATTTCTATAGTAATAAGTAAGTTCCATTCGGAAAGCTTCTTTCTAAGAACTGCTGCTTTGTAGAACATGCTCCCGGGAGGATGTTTTCTCGATATTGGCCCCTTCAAGTCTAGGGTTAACAGTTATCATTTCTGTATCGCTTCATGAGTAAATAGTAGGGAAGGCCGAGTTCTGTAGCCTTAGATGGCAACTGACCTACCGCAGAAATTAATAGCAACCTACCGCGGGAAAAAAAATCTGCTTCGTCAGTCATGTATCGAAAGATGCATGATCACTTAAGTGTGTATCACGTAGGGCACATAACTGACTGATACCGCCATGAACTTCACTTCTTGTTCTTTTTATGCTCATACAACACTACGCAAAAACCCTCTACCTTGAGTGGCTCTTGAGTGACTAATATATATAAAAAATATTTGTTCTTTTAGTAAATATCATTGCTCACAGTAGACAGGAGAAAAGGAAATATTAGCTTAATAATTTAGAAAAGCTGCCACGTGATTTCAGTTGTCGGTTACTCGTTTGATATGCTGTCGCTTCGTGTCTCTCTTAAGGTAAAGCGAGTCGCTTGTAGATTTACAGCTAGCAATTTTTTTTGACTGACCACTACCTGTTGCAAAGTTTTGTATTTATCTTTTTTTCATGGATTACAGAATTGACTTCTTTTTTTTTAATTTTAGTCAAATAGTGATTGTTTGAAAATTATCTTTTTATAATTCGGTGGATGGCGGAACAGGGCTTAGGAGAAATAACAGAAAGACAAAGTTTATTAAGAGAAGAAAGAGACAGAAAATTGTAGAGAACAGTTATCGCCTACGGACTGAGGGCGATAACAACATATAAACCAGAAGAGGATCCGCAAATATTTTATCTTATTTTAGATTTAGATTTTTCCTAGATTTGTCATTTGGAGTTTAGTCCTTTTTGGGGTTGGCTGTTACGCAGATTTTATTTCTGTTCATTTTTGAAGAAGACTACACGTTTTCTTTCCCATTTATCTTATTTTTTTCGCTCCATTTTATCCCTCCTTTAATTTTTTTTTTTTTCTGTCTTTTTATCTTCATTTCTTCCTTTATTTTTGCTTTCTTCCTTCAGTTCTTTTTTCTTTCTTTCTTTCTTTCTTTCTTTATCCCTACTTTCTTTCTTTCTTTCTTTCTTTCTTTATACCTATTTTTCTTTTCTTTCTTTCTTTCTTTCTTTCTTTCTTTCTTTCTTTATGCCTATTCTTTCTTTCTTTCTTTCTTTCTTTCTTTCTATACTTTTTGTACATGAATTAATATTCCTCTTTTTATTCCACTTTTCTAAATTTTCTTTTTTCCTTTCTTTCTTTTTTCTTCCGTTCTTTCTTTTTCCTTCTCTTTAAATTTTCTTCTTGCATTATTTATGTGTTTATTTAACTCGTTCTTTTCTTTTTTCTCTTTTTTTCTCTAGGTCCTGTTCGTGTATTTTTATGTATTTCCCTATTCCAATTTTATTTCCTTATTCCTTTTTCTTTCTTTCTTTCTTTCTTTCTTTCTTTCTTTCTTTCTTTCTTTCTTTCTTATTTTCGTTCTCTTTCCTCCATTCTGTATTTATTTCTTTTTTGCTCCCGCATAATTTTTATCTATTTTTCCTATTTTCAAATTGTCTCTTCATTTTTTTCTTTCCTTATTTATTTTCGTTTTTTTTTTTTTCGTCTCTCTCTTTTAGTTTCTTTTTCCTTACTTTCTTTCATTCATTCTTTAGCTTTTTTCTTACATTGTTGATGTGTTCATTCTACCTTTTCAGTATTTGTTTCTTTACATTTTGTTCCTGCCTTGAACCTATTTTACTTTTTAAATTTTCTTCTTTTTTCTTTCTTTTTCTTTCTTTTTTTCTTTCTTTCTTTCTTTAACTTTTGTTCTTCTATTGTTGATGTAGCTATTCCATTCTTCTGATTTTCTGTTTCTTTCTTTCTTTCTTCCTTTCTTTCTTGCTTTCTTTCTTTCTTTCTTTCTTTCTTTCTTTCTTTGATTTCTGCTCTCGCATTATTTTTATCTATTTTTCCATTATACCGAATTTTCTCTTCGTTTTCTATTCTTTCTTTCTTTATTTTGATTTTCTTTTTCTTCCTTTCTTTCTTTTCTTTCTTTCTTTCTTTCTTTTCTTTCTTCCTTTCTTTCTTTCTTTCTTTTTTATTTCTTTCTCGCTTTCTGTATTTCCTTCTTTTTCTTTCTCCTCAACTCATTTCTTCTTGTTTATGATTTCTTTATTTCTTTCTTTTCCATTTTCATCCAACATTTTCATATCCATTCCTCCTTGTTTTATCTTCTTTTTTTTCTATTTTGACCTCTTTTAGTGATGAGCCTATTCAGAACGTCCAAGGTTGGTCATATTTATATAATAGCGGGAATAACTTATGCAATAAACCTCCGTCGCAACTGGTCGACATATCAAATGGAAATTGAATCGAATGACATGCGCATGCGCCAAACAGGGGAGATAAAGGATTCAACGGGAACAGACAAGATTGATAATGGAAACTAAAAAGACGTTCCGTATGGGGGAAAAAACACTGAGATACTCAAAGGGAAAATATATGAAAATAAGGAGATTTCTTTTGTCCTATCGGTTAAAGGTTTCAAATAGGTAGATTGTGGTGTTGACGGGTAAAATGGTAATAACGAAAGAAAAGAAAAGTCATTTTTTTTAAGTAACATTATAAGAGAAGTAGAATAAATGGAAAATGGAATTTGTAAAGAAAAAAGAATTGAAGAAGGAAAAAAAAAAACACGTACGATGAATTGAAACTTAAGAAAAACAGAAAAATAAAAGCATTACAAATCATTTTAAATTAAACATATATATATATATATATATATATATATATATATATATATATATATGTATGTATATATATATATATATATATATATATGTATGTGTGTATGTAGATTACATTGTTCGTTTTTATTATCTTGTCAAAATATAAATCATCTGATTATTATATCTTTATTGTTCTCGTTTTGGTTATCGTTGGGTTGGCCATTTCTTTACATTTTTTAAGATTCGAGTTTCCGCAGCGTTTTTTTTTTTTTTTTTTTACATTTTTTTATCTAGATTGAATCTCTATTTGTTCCTTTTCTTTTTTTTCTTTTTAGTCATTTCTAACTGTTTTCCCTAACTTTTGTCAAACAAACTTTCAGAAGTTCAGTTTCTTTCTTTCTTTCTTTTTATCATCGGTTATTTTTCTCGTATGTCAGAAATTCGTCTCTCTATTCTTTGATATAATTCTTTCACAACACACTTTCCACACACGTTTTTAAATCTTTAGACTTTTTGTGTATATTTTCATCTCTTTCTCCAGTCATGAACGACTTTTTGTGTGTGTGTGTGGAGGGGAGAATTAACAAATTGGTCTTGCAGTTCATTTCTCTTTTGGTTAAGTTCAATGCTCACAGGCGACATCACGTTAAAACACCGGTACCCGTAAAATCACCAAAGTTAAGCAACGTCAGTACCAAGATGGGTGACTGTTTGGTGCTGTAAGCTTTGATGTGTGGGTGGTGTAATGCATAATAGCTCGGAATTTTTAATCGGAGAGCCGAATTCAAATTCCCATTGGCGTCGTTATGTTCTCTTCCGGGCCAATATACAGTGTAACCCGGATATAAGAGAGTTGTTGGGACCGGAGAATAAGTCTCTTATATCCGGGTTTCTCTTATATCCGGGTGTGGTCTATTTTGTTTAGGTAACACAGGCTCTAATTTGGGACCAGAGAAAATATCTCTTATATCCAGGTTTCTCTTATATCCGGGTCTCTTATATCCGGGTTACACTGTACTTGTGAAAGGTAAAAAAATCACCACTTCTCGACACAGGTAATGATTAATAAGTAAAAATCGTAACACTAAACCATTATTATCTCTCTCCAAAATTGATACAATCTCAAAATATTTTCTGGCTTTAAATAACCTGTAAATGGTTGATAAGCCAAAGAAAACGAAACGAATCAATCAGTTGATCCTTTGCCCCAAAACTTAGTTCTCTTTAGTAATTGCCTCTGAAAATACAAATAAAAAGATACTTATTTTTAGCATCAGAAAAAGTTATTTGAAATTTCTATGGCATTTCGAGGGAAGATGGCTTAGAAAAATTGACTCACAGGATACAGTAAGGTCAAAGACACAGGAAAGCAGTTAACTACCGAAAGAGTTTGTGGAAATGGTTAGCAGAACAGGGATAAGGAGAGATAAGAAAAAGACAAACTTTACTAAGTTTGTTTAGCGGCAAATCCTTATGGGTCATTTAATGTCGAAATTTAATTTTCTTGGCAAATTTTTTTGACAAATGCATTGTTGGTAATTTTTGGTGTTTTCTTTATTTTGTTTTTTCAAAAATGTATTGCTGGTAATAATTTTTACTAGGAAATGTATTGCTGATAATTTTACGATAAATAATTATACTTTCATAGTGTTTTAACCCCAGTTTTGGAATTAATAATCTGCCCATAGATGGGACCTTAACAGGTACTACCACTCCGGATCAGGGTGGACCTGGGAACAACAGCAGTCAAAAGGCGGTTCCATGCGCCTTAAAACCTCCTGATCAGAAACCTTGCTGCCAGGTGTATTTTATCGTCATACCCAGGACGAACTAAGTGCTAAAAAAAGACAGGAAATTGTAATCCTTCACATAAGCGAAATAAAATAATCTTTCAAAGTTCTGTTTCGCTTAAACAGCTTCAAATAAATTGTTCCATTTCAGCCGTGTCTATGGTAGACCAAGCGCCTAACAATCAATCGTCGATCCGAATGACTTATTACTACGAGAATGTTGATGCTTATTGGAGCTTGGCAGTCGTCTTAGGGTGCCTTTCACTCTGTCCATCCATACTCAAAACGTTGAAAATCTTTAGATACGCGTCCAGCGTAAACTACGTCGACAGTTTGGTTTGTTTTACGGCATATCAACCTCTACGGGTTATTTAACGCCGACAAAAATTTTATTGCTGGTAATATTTTTTTTCCAAAAATGTATTTCTGGTAATATTTTTTTTCTTCAAAAAAATCTATTTCTGGTAATATTTTTCCTTAAAAAAATGTATTGTTGGTAATATCTTTTTTTTTTCCAAAAATGTATTGCTGGTAATAATTTTTTTTACAAAGTATTTCTGGTATTAAAACATAGTTTTATACATTCATAGTATTTTGAACCCAGTTTGGGAGTTAACTGTTTGGTCACAGCTGAGACCCTAATAAGAGGTACCACCCCGGGTCAGAGTGGACCTGGGAATGTCATCCATTAAGAGGTGGTACCACTCTCCTCAAAGCCTCCTGATTAGAGGCTTTGTTGTTGGACGTAGTTTATCGTCTTACCCAGAACGATCGACAGTTTTAAACTTCTGATCTTCGCATCTTAGCAAATATGTCTTCGGCACTTACATGCTGTGTAGGCCACCATTACCCGTTGTAATAATGTTTCATTTTTAATAACCGTATATAATTTGGCTTTATTGGTAATAAACCGTTCAGGGAATAGCAGTTTATTTTACGGTGTTTAAGTGAAGGATTACCCAAGAAATTGTGGATAGCCATGATTGCCCATGTCCTCTAGGAAGACGGCAAATACAAGAAGAAGATATATATTTTTTTAATTAGCCGTCCACTCAATCTTTTAGTCTATCTAGCTTTCTTTGCCCAGAAACTTCTTTTAGGTTTTCTATCAGTTCTTTGAGATATAGGGCGCAGCAGAAATACCTCCCACATATACTACCCAGAAATACCTCCCACATAATGCATAAGCAACCTGAAAATCGCATTGCCACTAATGTCTTACCATTATGTGAGTGGTATTTCTAAGCATATATCAGGAATATTTCTGCCACACCTCTTCTTTTGTGAGGACGAATTTGCATTCATCTTAGTCTCTGTGTGTGTGTGTGTGTGTGTGTGTGTGTGTGTGTGTGTGTGTGTGTGTGTGTGTGTGTGAAGATTGCTTACCCATCATTGTATCGAATCCTTTATTTGCATAAATGTTCTTTTTCATCCTTTCATAAATATTTATAACCATTTTTCTGTCTTATCACTTTTGCCATCACTTTCCCCTACCCTCTTTTCTCTGCTTCCGTTCCCGTATTAATTTTTCCCCTTTCGTTCTCTTGCATTATATTTTCTTTAACGCCACTCTTTTTTTCTTTCTCAACCTATATTCCCTCTCTTCTACTCTTCCTCTCTCCCTATCTATCTATCTATCTATCTATCAATCTATCTATCTATCTATCTATCTATCTATCTATCTATCTATGTCAGTCTCTTCAGATTTGTCAATCTCTTTCATCCTGTTTGACTACCTAGCGCTATCTATCTATCTATCTATCTATCTATCTATCTATCTATCTATCTATCTATCTCTGTTTATTTATCTTTCTATCTATTTATATATTTCTTTTTGTTCTTCATCTATCTATCTATCTATCTATCTATCTATCTATCTATCTATCTATTACAGACCATTTCTATCTATGTCATTCTATTCGTATATCTGTCAATGTATTCTTGCAATTTCTACCTATCTATTTATATCAGTATATTTCTATCTATCTATCTATCTATCTATCTATCTATCTATCTATCTATCTATCTATTCACTCCCCTTCTCCTTTTCTTTTTACTTTTTACAAATTCTCCTTTTCTTTCATTGCTCGCAATCATTTACACCAGTCATGGGCAAAGTGCGGCCCGTTTTGTTCTTTTTAAATGGCACGCTTAATTCACTCACATAATCCATATATAACCACCATACATAAACAACAATTATGCGCAATGTTTCTTGAATTTTGTAAAATCTTTGTATAAGTAACCTCAACAGCATTTTAAACCATTGGCGATTTTCATTAAGAAAGCACATACGTGCAAACATCTTTTTCTTTTAAAACAGAAAACGTTCATAGGATTTGTTTTTCTCTAAATAAGAAATGTTTTCATTTTCAAATGAATAAATTACAAATAAATCCCCACGCAGCGACATGTGATTATTACAATGTCATCAGTGGTAATATTTACCAAGACTTCAATTTTTCAATTCTAAAAAAATCTTTTCTAAAAAAACAAAATTTTCCTACTATTTCTAAGGTATATGCTTACACGTATGGTCTTCCGTAGTGATTTTTGCAATTTTTCTGAGTCATTTTTGTAACACCTCAGTATCGGACCTTTCTTCTCACGCGCTCTCTTTCTCTCTCTATTTCCATCTCTCTCTCTCCCTCTCACACACACATACTCCCTCCTTCTCGGTCTCCCTCTCTTTTCATAGTCTTACAACTGTTCAAATACTAGTCTCTTCTCTCTCTCTATGTAT